CATCGGCAGGATCAAGCGACCTACGGAGGCAGCAGGCGGGCTGACTACGCCATTGCTCTGGTCTCCGACCCTGCCTATCCTCTGTCTGTCGGGGGTGCTCCTGCCCTCGGCAGTGACGTCCTAGAGGACCGCCAGTACAAGCTTGCTTTCCTGTCTGAGGCTGCTCTCCATCTCTGTTCCATGCTGCTAGTTCCTGAGGGTGACCCAGACGCTTTCGACATCCCGACCCCTCGCACTTACGCTGAGGCGGTCTCGGGACCCTGGGCCTCTCAGTGGATAGCTGCCATGGAACAGAAGATGGCATCTTGGAGATCCATCCGCACCTACGTCGCCGCAATTCCCCCACATGGGGTGAACGTAGTCGATGGCCGCTGGCTCTTCAAGGTGAAGCGCCCTCCTGGAGAGCCACATGTGGTCAAGGCGCGCTATGTGGCTAGTGGTTTCAGTCAGCGTGAGGGGGTGGACTTCTTTCAGACTTTCGCTCCGACCCCGAAGATGACTACTCTTCGGGTGCTGCTACACGTAGCAGCTCAGCGTGACTACGAGCTTCACTCCCTCGACTTCTCCACTGCCTTCCTTCAGGGCAGCCTACACGAGCAGGTCTACCTGCGCCGCCCTTAGGGTTTCACCGGTACCTTCCCTCTTGGGACCCAGTGGCTCCTGCGGCGCCCCGTCTACGGCCTGCGACAGGCTCCCCGTGAGTGGCTACCCTTGCTGACCTGTAGTTCTTTCCGTCCTCTGCAGACCCCTCGCTCTTCGTTCGTGCTGGCCAGACTCCATTCTTCATCCTTGTTTACGTTGACGACCTGGTCTTCGCCACTGCAGACAGGGACGCACCGGCCTCGGTGAAGGCAGAGCTGCTGAAGAGACACACCTGCACTGACCTTGGAGTACTGCGCTAGTACCTTGGCTTGCAGATCTCTAGGGATAGAGCCGCGCGCACCATCACTTTGACTCAGTCACACTTGGTGCGCCAGGTCCTTCAGAGGTTCGGCCTTCAGTTCTCCTCTGCACAGCCCACTCCTCTGCCTCTAGACCATAGACTCTCCGCACCAGTCCCTGAGGAGTCAGTAGAGCCCAGTGGTCCTTACGCTGAGCTGGTGGGTTGCCTCATGTATCTGATGACTTGCACTCGCCCAGATCTCGCATACCCTCTCAGCATCCTGGCTCGCTTTGTGGCCACAGGCAGACACCGACCTCAGCACGGGTCTGCCGCTAAGAGGGTTTTGCGTTATCTTGCTTGTACATCGGGCATGGGGTTAGTGCTAGGAGGACGCAGGCCAATGGTCCTTACTAGGCACACAAACGCTTCTTGGGCAGACGACGCCGAGACCCTCAGGTCTTCGCAAGGCTACTGCTTCAGCCTTGGTTCAGGTGCCGTCTCGTGGAGATCTACCCGCTCCTTGTCTGTTGCCCAGTCCAGCTATGAGGCCGAGATCTACGCCGGTGCCATGGCAGCACAGGAGCTCCGCTGGCTGACCTTCTTGCTCACTGACTTAGGTGAGCGGCCTAGCTCTGCCCCGGTCCTATACGCTGACAATAGGGCCATGATCCTCTTGTGTCAGGAGCCTCGACTCGAGGGCAGAGCGAAGCACATCCAGCTGCGGTACTTCCTCCTGCGTGAGCTCCAGCAGCTCAGCCAGGCCCGTGTAGTACACTTGGCCTCCGGTGCCAACACAACTGATATCTTTACAAAGGCGCTTGCGCCTAAAGATCATCAGCGGCACTGTGTACAGCTACGTCTCGTTCCTGTAGCCTCTCACTTGCTAGGGCCTTGACTTTGTACTGTCCTTTATATATTTTTTTTACCCTGACTGGCCTTGTGGCCTCTCCCAGTGGCTGGACTAGTAGTGCCTCCCTGAGCTGCTTCTTCCCTTGTTCAGCACTGCCCCTATCTAGTCTAGGGGGTGTGTCAAATATAACTTGTATTGTTACTGTGGACTATACAGGTTTGTGCCTTAGAGGGTACAACACACTAGTCTATATTGCCCTGTATCTTCCTATTCTAGTCATTCTCTCTTTTTGATAGCTTTATGACTGGGGAATTCATGTGATTTCTAGGTCTGCATTTCCAGAATCAGCTACTGTTCGCAAAAAAAAAACACTGTTATTCTTGCATTTTCACTCTTCACGGAACCACGAATTCGGTCGCACGACGCTGCTAAAATTATATTTCATATAATTGTAGGCTTGGTAGTTATGCTACAAACTGCATCCTACTGTAGAGGGGACAACCCCCTTCTTGTACCTCATTCTCTTCTAGTCGATCCCCTTCTCTCTCGACATTTTTCCCTCCTACCTAAACCCACCCGCCATTTCATGGCGGGCTTCCCTACTTCCTAGTTTAACTAGCATTCAGACATGGTATCGGAGCAGGCCGCCCGTCGCGTGCCTGCTCATTACGCTTCCGCTGCGTACTTCCCTGTTCGCCGTCGTCGCGGCCTTCCTTCTGCCTGCCGCCGTGGCATCTTTTCCAAGATGCCGCGGCGGCCTTTGTGTGGTGTCGTCCCAGCATCGACGAGCAACCGCGGCTTCAACGCCACGCTGTGGTGGCGTCGTCGTGGTGCCGCGGCTATGTCGTTGGCCTGTTGCCGTCGCGCACCACCTGGTGCGGCCGTCGCAGCACGCAACCGTGGCGACGCCGTCGACGTCCGGCCGTGGCGGCGTGACGGCGCCATCGTGCTGACGTCGCGGCGTCGACGTCCCGCTGCAGCATCGGCGCTGCTCTTTGACGGTGCCGTCGGGCTGCAGCCGACTGTGCGACGCCGGTGACGCTACCGCCGCCCACACGCCAGCCAGCGCCCTCTCCTCTACACCACCCCTCATTCCAGCCACAGCTGCTGACTTCTACCGAGGCTCTTTGTCTCGTCGTGACACCTTACGAGAGCCTTCAGCCATGGCCGTTGCCCGCTGCCTCTCGCCCGGGGTGTCACGGGGGGGTAGATACCCGGCTGCTAAATGGCATGGAGGTGTTCTCTTTCTCCTGCCGCAGCTGCTGTCTTCGGCTCGGTCGTCGCCGGGTCGTGCCACACCGCCGAGAGCCCTCAGCCGCCACAGTTGCCGCCAGCTGCCTCTCGTCCGGGGGTGTCTTCGCCTTGCACGAGGGGTCGATACCCGGCTGCTCACGAGCATGAGGGTGTACGGGATTAGGGGGTGTGTGGGTGTTGGGTGGGCTTGTGACTACCAAGCCTAGGGGGTGTGTTAAAATTATATTTTATATAATTGTAGGCTTGGTAGTTATGCTACAAACTGCATCCTATTTTAGAGGGGACAACCCCCTTCTTGTACATCATTCTCTTCTAGTCGATCCCCTTCTCTCTCGAAAATTTTCCCTCCTACCTAAACCCACCCGCCATTTCACGGCGGGCTTCCCTACTTCCTAGTTTAACTAGCATTCCGATAGACGCGTATTGCACTGTTCACCAGGGCCTCAGATTGCAGGCTTTTTACCCCTGATTCAAGGTTAAATCAGGGTTTGTTTCGGGGTGACCCTAATGAGACAGGGCTTTTTTGTAACACGGGCCTGAAATTTCAGCGTATTTTTAGAAGTGAACTCTGATCGATCAGCGTGACTAGTGTAGTGAGGCCTATTTTTCCAGCGTCGTATTGGGGACCGACCATGACACTATGTGTAATAGCGGATTCGGAGCCCCAACCCCCCCACTCGTTATTTCCGAATTTCCCCCCCACCCTCCCTGTCAATCACGCCAGCTTGACACAGCAGGGGCTGATTTCGGCTAAGTCCTCAAAGTGAGCAAAAACCCTCCGAAAACCCCCGCTTCTCCAAAAAATTGGGTAAGTCCTGAAAGTTAGAGACAATCCTCGGAAACCCCCCCCCTGCTCTAAAATTTCGGCGAAGTCCTGAATGCTAGAGTATCGAACAGCGCGTGTTCGATACAGCGCTGCCTCGCGCTGTGTTCGGAGCTGGGCAGTGGCGCGAACAGCGCACGACGTGGCACGCGATTGTGGGCTGCACAATGTGGCACACGATTTTGCCACGTAAAAACAGGCCCCACTTGGTCATCAAGTGGGGCCCCACTTGATTTTCGCCCAGGGAATGCACGAAAAGCAGGAATAGCGGAGGGGGGTCCCTCTTGAACCCCCCTGCAGAAAAAGCCGAGGCCCACATGGCCTGCGAAAAACGTCGCAGGGGGGCTGCACGACGCGCAAGGCTGTCAATAGTTTTTCGCCTCGAGCATACATTGGCTAAAACACTCGCGCAACCAACCAAAGGATTTGTGCAACCCCATTTTGTTTTCGGATAGTTACAAATGTCGGGGCACTGGGACGTTTCGTTTTTTCGCCGGGTTTCGGGACTTCGTTTTTTCGCATCCACTCAACAATCAAGAGGGACCCCCCTCTGCTATTTTGCCGTCGGGTTTTAAACAGCGTGTTTTCTGTAGTTGACCCTGTATATTCAGCGCAAAAATTTTACAACACCCTGATTGATCAGCGTTTTTTTTTTTTTTTTTTTTTTGGAGGCCTGAAAAAACAGGGAGCTACGAGGTGGGGACCCTGAGCGATCAGCGTGCCTCAAAACGAATCGGAGGCCCTGCTGTTCACTTAATGGTTTCGTGCAAAAACTGTCGCCAAACCGCCACGGTCGGATTCCGCTTTGCAAAACGAAATGTTTTTATTCTGTTTCGTTTACTCTAAAGACCAAGTAATGTGCCAAGTTCAAGAGAAAATTAAACAGCCCTCTTGATTGCTATTATAGCCACGGGCTTTAATACTGGGTCAGTGCGCCCATTGCCCTTCAGACTCTGCACGTGTGGCCCTTCCCCGAGGATCTTCTCAAGGGTACCCCAAGCATGTCACTCGACATATACCACCGGATTTTCGTGCACCCCCTTGTTTACATGTGTGGCCCCATATCCACGCGCGTTCACGTGGACCACGCAGCAGGCCCACGTCATACGATGCCAGTCCCGCCTTCACTGGCGGATTCCATGGTCCCTATTGGACACTTGTGTTTTTCCTTGCTCCCAACCCACCTTTTCCAAACCCTCTCTAGCCCCACCCCCCCACTTTAGCCTCTCTCTCTCTCTCTCTCTCTCTCTCTCTCTCTCCTCTCTCTCTCTCTCTCTCTCTCTCTCCTCTCTCTCTCTCTCTCTCCTCTCTCTCTCTCTCTCTCTCTCTCTCTCTCTCTCTCTCTCTCTCTCTCTCTCTCTCTCTCTCTCTCTCTCTCTCTCTCTCTCTCTCTCTCTCTCTCTTCTCTCTCCCTCTCTCTCTCTCTCTCTCTCTCTCTCTCTTTCCCTCTCTCTCTCTCTCTCTCTCTCTCTCTCTCTCTCTCTCTCTCTCTCTCTCTCTCTCGCTCTCTCTCTCTCTCTCTTAGCATTCTAGTATCTTCATTTTCCCCTTTCAGCTACCGCCTTGTCTCACTACCAGAGTCTGCAATGCCTGGCGCAGTTGATCCCAACCCGACGATGGCGTCAATGATGGGGAGAATCCAGGTCCAGGCCCGTAGCGCTAGCTTAGTTCCATGCCCTAACAACCCTGCTAGCATACGAGCAGATAATTCCATCCCACAGCACTTGGTATGAATGACCGCCATTTCTGCCACTGCTACTATCGCTACTACGAAATGTCATTTCTGTTGGCTGCTGCCGTGCATGGGACGATCATCGTAGCTGCCACTGTGCATAGTGAGATCGTAGCTGTTGATGTGCATAGTGAGATCGTAGCTGCTGCTGTGCATTGTGAGATCATAACTGTTGCTGTGCATAGTAGGATCATAGGTGCTGCTGCTGAGCAACGAAATTTTAGCTTATACTGCTGTTGTTACGAGTGACGAGACGAGATTGTTGCTCTGCTAACGCAACCAGTGACATGATTGTTTCTCGCCCTGCTTCTATGCGTGATAGGGTCGCCACCGCCTCTATTGCTGTTGTGTGTAACAATTTACGGCCGCTGCTGCTTCGGCGGCACTGTTTCTACTACAATGGACGCATTCCTGCAGTTGCCGCAGCTATGAATGTCACTCATTTTTACTCCCTGTTGCTGCTAGTGTGTATGGCACGACGATGACGATACTGCTGATGATGTGCAGTATGCTTTATTGCAAGGGCACCTGGCCCCCTAAATCCACGGTCTCTGATAATACGCACTATTAAGAGGGTGAAAATAAGGCACCCTGACTTGTCAAAGTAAATAATTCCAAAACATAGGGTTATCTTGAAGTCTCTGGGAATTTTTTTAGGACCACTTTGATTTTCAAAGTAGTGCAAAATGTCACTACCAGATTTCAGAGTAGTGAAAACCCAAAGATCAGCACTGTTCCCAATCACACCAAACGCACCAATTATGTATTTATTTCATGGTTTAGCACAACAATACGGTACCTTGAAGGTTATTGAGCACCACAAGAGACAACCTGTGGAGCATGACATCAGCCCCAAAACCACGCCTAAATCCAACTTTTAACTCCCACCCAAGCCAGCATAGTCACTGCCCTTGTAGATCAATATGATTCAAATCCAATAGCTACACCATCTGTAATGATTTACACTCCAGGAGTTATTCTATTGTGCAGTCTATATCTTATTGAAAGAGCGCACCTTGTGAAAGCCCAGTCACACCTTTTCCCAAGTTTGAAAGTGATACTCACACCTGTTCGATGAGCGCTTCCCGTCAGTGGCACGCAAAATACTCTCCACTTCTTGTCAGACACCACTTGCTGCCATGCAGCCTTGACAGAGGTTTACTTGAGGAGCGTGTTCTGGCACGATGGCAGAGGTTCATGACGTGGGTAGAGATTCAGAGGGGGAGGCATGGTGGCAAGAGAATGACAGCATAGAAAGAAAGGCAGGGGATGTGGAATACACGGGAAGGAAAAGAGAGACAAGAAGATGGTTCATCACACTTTAGCCTTGTTATGGTGTTTGATAGCGAATCAAGCTAGCCCCTGGGCGGCTTTGTTCTTGAACGCGTGCTTCAGGGCTGACCAGTGCCCAGACGCGGGTCCCCCGGAGCCCGCATAGCCTCAAGACGCGGAATTCCCGGAGCCTCCCGCAATGGGCTCGCCGTTCGCGCCTCCGGGATATCTATAGCCTCCTCCTACAATCATGGGCCCACCGTCCTCTTGTATTCATGGGCCTACTGTCCGCTGCTCTGGGATTCCTAGAGCCTCCTCCTCAAGCCATGGGCCCACCATCGTTGGTAGCAACAGGAGACGATGAGCAGAGGGAACCGACGACGACATCAACCGCTGCTAGGGCAATCGCAAGCATCGCTAGGACTCGCACAGACACGCTGCGGGCCACCATGCGACGGGCCATCATGCGGCGGGCCATGCTAGGACTCGTAGAGACACGCTGACTCGGAATAGGAGGGATATGAGGGTGTCAAGAGACCTTACGATTTTGTACTAGAAGTGGATCTGACGAGGTTGCTGCTGTAAGACTCAATGGTTGCGATGCACTACAAAGGTCGTAACTGCTTATGGACCATCCTGCAATAGCCTGCTAGCTTATACTTCCATAGGTACTAGCGGCTTTCTGAGCTACATTCGCATATTGGATCGTGGAGCGCTACATCCCTTCGCTTCAACAATTGTTGGCAGAAAAGGATCGAGTGCGAGCCAGAATAGACACGCGACTCCGCAAGCCATACGACCGACTTTTGGAACGTGAACGGACGCAAGATGTGGAGCCGACTTTTGACGCAAAGCAACTTGCAAAGGGTGTTTCGCATCATAATAGTGCAGTGCGTTATGTTTTTTCCCACAAACGCATCACGTGAAGTGGTGTTGATGCGAGGGCTAGACGAACAGACTCCGCCCGCCACGCATGTTCCTAAGACCAAAGAGTCTAGTAAATAGTACGTTCAGGCTGTCATAACTCAGTCACTAACCACTGGGTTAAAAAGGGCTTGTTAAGTAGCGGGTAAGTGCGCCCATAACCCCCTAGGCATATAGATGGTCTGTAGCCCTTCTCCGAGGATCTCAAGGGCAACCCCAGCGGGTCTCTCGGCACCCCTCCCCCTCACTGGGATAGGCGGAAGACTTGGCACCTCTGCCGGTGCACTGCCACCTCTACCGGTGGACTGCCACCTCTACCGGTGCACACTGAGAGTTGAACCCGAGACCTTAGGCTCTGTGCCATGTCATAATTTAGTCACTAACCACTGGATTAAAAGGGCTTGTTATGTAGCGGGTAAGTGCGCACATAACCCCCCAGGCAGATAGATGGAAAGAAGCCCTCCCCCGAGGATCTCAAGGGCAACACCTGCGGGTATCTTGACACAGGCAGCCGGCTTTAGAACTAGAAGCGCAAAAGGTCCGACTGCATTTATTTACGAAACTCCATGAAGTACTGGGTGATTTCATCCGTGGAGAAGTTTGATCTTTAAAACCGCCAAGCGGCCGTGATTCACACTCTAGCTAGAAGAAAACGAATACCGGTATGCGTGAATGGAAATTCTCTCTAGCTATTTGTTGTCGGTGTAGTACACGGTTCAAATTTGGTGACTTGCAGTTCTATCCGTGTCTAGTACAATCTTCAATGCCTACTTAAAATGTGTATAAATCGAAATGTACAGCCCCGTGTGTATGCTTCGGCTTCAAACAGACGAGTACAATAGATGCAAGGAAATCAACGTATGAACTATCTTATCGCACCCATGACATGGGTCATAGGCCGTGAGACTCTGCTAGGCATGTAAACATGCTTTGGTCTTCTATGTTGGCTGCATGGATGTTGCAGCTGCCAAGTATTATGTGGACAGAGGATAAGTATATCCAGGTATGCTCAGAGGGTCTCTGCTGTTCAGTAACCTAAGGTGGTGGTGGTGACGTGGATGATGCTGATTCGTCAGAAGGTGCAGGAGGGGAGGGAGTGGATAGGGGTGTTTCTGGGGTGGCGGATTCAGTGGGAGGGGGTAGGGAGACAGGCGGAGGAGGGGAAGCATCAGGGAGGGAGGGGGATGGGCTAGGGGGAGGGGGAGACAGGCTAGGGGGAGGGGGCGATGGGTCAATGGAAGGAGGCGATTGGACAAGGGGGGGCGAAGGAACAAGGGGAGGAGGCGAGGGGTCCTGTGGCGGTGAGGGGACGGGAGGAGAGAGGACTGGAGAAGGGGGAGGAGAAGGAACAGGACTGCTAGTGGCTGTAGAGCTGCCATCACTGCTGCTCCCACTCCCACCACTCCCACTTGCACCACCACTCCCACTGGCACCACCACTCCCACTGGCACCACCACTCCCACTGGCACCACCACTCCCATCACTACCACCACTCCCATCACTACCACCACTCCCATCATCACTCCCACCACCATCACTCCCGCTGCTGTCACTCTCAGTCCCATTCCCGGCATCAGGCATGGACTGCAGGATGGCGTCGGGCACGAGCAGCGAGTCGACGAGGTGCACTTGGAAAAAGTCCGTCTTGGCGAGGTTGGGCGCGAGTAAAGTGGTCTTGGAGCGACCCGTTCCCGACCGGAACACCACCGTGAAGAATGCGCTCTCGTCCGACTTGAACATAGATTCCTTGGCAAGAGTGGGGAACTGGACAGGGGAGGGGGAAAGGCAAGCATTGAGGGAATGAGGGAGAGAGAGGGAGAGGGAGAGAGGGGGAGAGGGAGAGAGGGAGAGAGGGAGAGGGGGAGAGAGGGAGAGGGAGAGAGAGGGAGAGGGAGAGAGAGGGAGAGGGAGAGAGGGGGGAGAGGGGAGAGGGGAGAGGTAGAGAGGGGGGAGAGGGGAGAGAGGGGGTTGGGATGGTGTCGGGCACGAGCAGCGAGTCGACGAGGTGCACTTGGAAAAGTCTGTCTTGGCGAGGTTGGGCGCGAGTATATCAGTCTTGGAGCGACTGGCGCCCGACTGGAACACCAAGGTGAAAAACACGCTCATGTCGGATTTGAACGCGGATTCCTTGGCAAGAGTGGGGAACTGGAGAGGGGAAGGGGAAGGGGAAGGGGAGGGAGAGAGGGGAGTGACCGCTGCCCAGCTGGAACACCACCGTGAAGAACGCAATCTCATCGGACTTGAAGACAGGCTTCTAGGCTAGAGTGGGGGGTTGGAGAGAAGTTGGATTGGGAGTGAAGCATGCAATAGGGGGGGCTGGTTTGAGTCTCAGACGGAATACCACCATGAAGGATGCACTTTAATCGGATTTCTTTGGCCTGAGTAGGCAACTGTATGGGGAGGGGGATGGGGAGGGGGATGGGGAGGGGGTGAAGACCGCGGTGAAGAATGCCTTCCCATCCGACTTCAAGACCGACTCCTTGGGGAGAGTAGGGAACTGAAGAGGGGAGACGAGGGGGCAGGGAAGAGGGGAGACGAGGGGGCAGGGAAGAGGGGAGACGAGGGGGCAGGGAAGAGGGGAGACGAGGGGGCAGGGAAGAGGGGAGACGAGGGGGCAGGGAAGAGGGGAGACGAGGGGGCAGGGAAGAGGGGAGACGAGGGGGCAGGGAAGAGGGGAGACGAGGGGGCAGGGAAGAGGGGAGACGAGGGGGCAGGGAAGAGGGGAGACGAGGGGGCAGGGAAGAGGGGAGACGAGGGGGCAGGGAAGAGGGGAGACGAGGGGGCAGGGAAGAGGGGAGACGAGGGGGCAGGGAAGAGGGGAGACGAGGGGGCAGGGAAGAGGGGAGACGAGGGGGCAGGGAAGAGGGGAGACGAGGGGGCAGGGAAGAGGGGAGACGAGGGGCAGGGAAGAGGGGAGACGAGGGGGCAGGGAAGAGGGGAGACGAGGGGGCAGGGAAGAGGGGAGACGAGGGGGCAGGGAAGAGGGGAGACGAGGGGCAGGGAAGAGGGAGACGAGGGGGCAGGGAAGAGGGGAGACGAGGGGGCAGGGAAGAGGGGAGACGAGGGGGCAGGGAAGAGGGGAGACGAGGGGGCAGGGAAGAGGGGAGACGAGGGGGCAGGGAAGAGGGGAGACGAGGGGGCAGGGAAGAGGGGAGTTTTGGAGCCGACTGGGAAAGCAACCGAAACCAAGGAAACCTGCAACCCCGCGCCTCCTTCCTCTCCTTTTTATGTGCAACCCGATGCTCACGCTGGAGTCCCGGGGTCACTCTACGAGCTGAGTGTAGTGGTCTTCCCCAGGATCATGTGGTACCGCAGCGTCGTGCGCGCCAGCTACACCCGCTTACCGCACCCGACTTCCCCGCACCCACCGTACCCATACAGCCCCACCGTTTGGTATCCACTCACGCCGGAGTCGGCGGGTCGTTCGACGAGCTGCGTGTAGTCCATCATCTTGCCCAGGATCATGTGGTACCGCAGCGTCGTGCGCGCCAGCGCGGGGTTGTTGAAGTACGGCGACGCGGGCGGCAGCGCCTGCAGCGCGTCGGGGGACGGCACCAGGAACGTCGCTCCCGCGCCCTTCCCTTGGGTAATAGACTCGAGCAGCACCGAGAACAGCCCCGCGTTGCTGATGTACTTAACGAACTGCTGCTGTTTGCTTAGGCCCTGCACGAGATTAAAGACCTTCTGCGCGTCGGCTAGGTTGACCATGAACTTGGGCTTAGGGGTGGTGGAGGAGGTTGTAGTCGTGTTCTTCTTTTTCCCGAACAGCTTTTCCAGGAGCTTCCCCTTTTTCTTGGTCTCGACGGTGGCCGGCGACTTAGACGGCGACTTCGAGGGAGACTTTGACGGAGACTTAGACGGTGATTTTGACGGTGACGGAGACGGCGTCGCCTCTTTCGCTGGTGGGCTTGCCGTCGGTGAGGTTCGCTTGGGCGGCGACGGGCTCACTTTCGGCAGCGAAGGGCTCTTCTTGGGTGGCGAAACGTTCGCCTTAGGGGGAGATTTCGCTGGCGATTTCGCTGGGCTCTTCGTCGTCGACTTTGACGGCGAAGGAGTCTTCTTTGACGGAGTCTTGGACTTCTTCGTCGGAGATTTTGAGGCCTTGGTCTGAGACGTAGTCGAAGTCGTTGATGGCTTTTTAACGGGGGGCAAGGCCTTCGGTTTAGTCACTTTCGCTGCAGTCTTCTTCACCGATGCGCTCGCTTGCGACGTCGCCGCCTTCGCTTGCTTCGTCGCAGACGACTTCGCCGAATTCGCCGAAGATTTCGTCGACCCCGCAGCTTTCTTCCCAGCTGCTTTCAGCGACATCGATGATGACGATGACTTCGCTGCGACGCTTTTTGCTGCCGAATTTGTGACACTCGCCGATTCTCCCCGCACTAGTTTCGGTTTCTTCGGTGGGGAGGCGATGGGCCGGGCGGCGGATTTCGTCTTGTTCTTGCTGGAAGCTTTCGCTGTTGCTGTACCGAGCGCAGGAGTGGGTACGCAGAGCGCGAGGATGACTAAGCACAGAATGGCGGCTAGAAGGAGCGACCTGCGGCCGGCCATGGCCGGCGACTCGAGGGCGGAGGTCTTCTAGACCTGGCCTAGTAGGTCTGCCAGAAATATTTTGACGAGGAATTTGCAACGAGGAATTCGATGAGGAATAGTTTTGAGGCGACTCAAAACTCAATCTGGGTTTCTGAGGTGAGATGTGAAAAGTAGCGGAGCTTCGAGTGCTACAAAAGGCTGTAGAGAAATCGCAGAATGCGATAGTTGTGGGAGAAACACGCAAGCAAGTGCTTGGTTAAGTTGGATGCAAGCTATTTGGAAGGTCAAAGGGCACGCTATGGACTGTTTCTACAGCTAGGCGGATGGTAAGCACTCAAGCGGCTGTTCGGTTTGGGGGGCTGCTACGAACGAACTGGATGCCAGATGAGCCCCCAATCCCCTCAATGGAGTGGAGCAGTGATGCACGCCGATGTCGGTCGGGGGGGCGCGACGAAGGTGATAAGGAATCTGACGGGTCAACAAGGGGGACAAGCCATTTCGACGGCAGCGGGTTTCGCAAGGCCAAGGATGGCTATGGATTCACGGGCGATCAGGATTCGGATCAGCAAGCGAGGACGAGGTGCGCCTAGGGGGAGGGAGGGGGAGGTGCCGGAGGGAGGAATTTTTTGCCGTCGGGTATGAGGCGAAGTGTGGGATGGAAATGTCGGCTTTTGGGCTGGGAGAATGAGATGGAGGGGAATGTCGAATTCGCCATGCCCCGCTACCGATACCGAGCCGCATCCTCTCATCAATGTGACCGACTCGCGAATTTCAAGGCGCCTTGGGTCTGCTTGGGACGCAAATTTGTCTTGGCGCGAGAGGTGGGGATTGATGACGCACGATGGTGGTTCTTGAGGTGTGCGAGGGGAAGAGGATAAAATGAACGGCTGAGATAAATTGATGAGGCTCGTTTCTTACCGTTTCTTCCGCAAATGAGGCCTGGATTCGCCGAAAAATACAGCACTATGAGATACCGCGCTTTACTATGTACGGTGAATGGAAGTGTTGGCAACATGTATTGCGCGCCTACAACAAACTATCCATTTCTCCAAGTTCCTCCTCCAACATGGTAAGTGTACTCCAACATTATAATGTGCTTATTGCATCTATTGCTCACGCTCATTGCACATTTCAGTAATGAACTACCCATACGGTAGCTACCAAAACTGGAAATGGCACTAGATAACCACGCAAGTGTACTTGATGGCAAATGCACAAATTGGTAATTATCCCCATGAGGCATGGATAGGAGAGCACCATAAAACGAGCATTATTAGTATGAACATTTGGCACATGTTACATTGTATAGTGTCAAAGTGCGCAACATGGAACAGCATGTCACAACCAACATGTCACATGGGATCAGGCGGTGACGACTTGGAGCTTGGTGGAGGGAGCACCGGTGGATCCGTGGCAGATGCAAGGGACGATTTTGAGGGAGCAGGGAGGGGGGGAGACAGGTATGGTGTGCTGGCAAGGGTTGGCGATGGAAGTGTTGTGTTTGGAGTACTGCTAGGAGGAGGGATGGGTGCTGCAACGGGGGGCGGTTGCTTTTCTGCTGGCACTGGTGCTGCTGGTGGGGAGAAGTAGACGGAGTCTGGGATGAGCAAGGAGTCCAGGACGTGCACCTGGGGTAGAGAGAGGGGGGAGGGGGAACACAAGGAAAGGGAGGGCGGTTGCTTTTCTGCTGGCGCTTGGGTTGCTTGAGGGTTGCTTGGGGTTTGCTCGAGGGTTGCTTGAGGGGAGTAGCAGACGGAGTCTGGGATGAGCAGGGAGTCCAGGACATGCACCTGGGGTGAGGAGGCATCCATTCGTCCATGTAAGCATTCGTCCATGTAAGCACTCGTCCATGTAAGCACTCGTCCATGTAAGCACTCGTCCATGTAAGCACTCGTCCATGTAAGCACTCGTCCATGTAAGCATTCGTCCATGTAAGCACTCGTCCATGTAAGCATTCGGCATGGTGATGCTGGCCCTCGACAGCTCTCTGGATGACCGCAGCACCACACTCCCCAAAGATGGCTTTTTTAGAATTCTGAAATATCTCCCGAAAGATGGCGGCCTAGAAGCACTCAACAGTTCCCCCAAACTAAGCCGCTCACCTGCATGCATCTGTCCGTGTATGCGTTGGGCATGGTGATGCTGGCCCTCGACGGCCCTCCAGAACCACACTAGAAGCACTCAACATAGAAGCACTCAACATAGAAGCACTCGACATAGAAGCGCTCAACAATCCCCAAAGCAAGCGACCCTCACCTGCATGTATTCGTCCGTGTATGCATTGGGCATGGTGATGGTAGCCCTCGATGGCCCTTTGGTTGGTCGCAGCACGACTTGGAAGAGGAAGCTAGCGGCGTCCTTCACTAGTGGCTCGTGCTGGTCCGTGGGGTACTGCAGGGGCGCGGGGAGGGAGAAGGTGACAACATGGGAGATGACGCACAGGGAATCAACACTTGACGGCCCCTAGGTCAGCCGCAGCACGACTTTGAAGAGGAGGCTAGCAGCGGCTCGTGGTGGTCCGTGGGGTCCTGCGGAGAGGGACAGGCAGGAGGGACAGAAGAACAAGGAAGGGAGGGGGCATGGCGCACAAAGGGGGTACTGCAAGGGGGAACTAGCAGGCTAGCCGCACCGCAGCACGACTCTGAAGAGGAAGCTCGCGGCGTCCTTCACTAGTGACTCGTGCTGGTCCGTGGGGTACTGCGGGGTGGGGGCATCAGCAGGATTGGAGGAAGATCAGAGCAGAGGCTTTTGCATGGAGGCTTTTTCCATCAGAGCAGAAGCCTGAGGGAATCGAATTTTGGATGGAGGCTTTTCCCTAGCTTGAATCTAGCCGCGTCCTTCACCAGAGGCTCGTGATGGTTGGGGTGTGCTGGGGAGAGGGAGAGGCAGGAGGGTCAGCAAGGAAGGAGGGATGGAGAACAAGAAAGGGAGGGGTCATGGGAGACTGGGGCGGTGCGCAACGTCATGCGAGCCAGCAGCACGGCTTTGAAGAGAAAGAACAAGAAAGACAGACTGGGGCGGTGCGCAACGTCATGCGAGCCAGCAGCACGGCTTTGAAGAGAAAGAACAAGAAAGACAGACTGGGGCGGTGCGCAACGTCATGCGAGCCAGCAGCACGGCTTTGAAGAGAAAGAACAAGAAAGACAGACTGGGGCGGTGCGCAACGTCATGCGAGCCAGCGGCACGGCTTTGAAGAGAAAGAACAAGAAAGACAGACTGGGGCGGTGCGCAACGTCATGCGAGCCAGCAGCACGGCTTTGAAGAGAAAGAACAAGAAAGACAGACTGGGGCGGTGCGCAACGTCATGCGAGCCAGCAGCACGGCTTTGAAGAGAAAGAACAAGAAAGACAGACTGGGGCGGTGCGCAACGTCATGCGAGCCAGCAGCACGGCTTTGAAGAGAAAGAGCAAGAAAGACAGACTGGGGCGGTGCGCAACGTCATGCGAGCCAGCAGCACGGCTTTGAAGAGAAAGAGCAAGAAAGACAGACTGGGGCGGTGCGCAACGTCATGCGAGCCAGCAGCACGGCTTTGAAGAGAAAGAGCAAGAAAGACAGACTGGGGCGGTGCGCAACGTCATGCGAGCCAGCAGCACGGCTTTGAAGAGAAAGAGCAAGAAAGACAGACATGGGGATTACGGCTGGGAAGGGGGGGGGGGAGGCTACTGGTCAGCAGCAGCACCACATGGGGAGGGGATTAGCCACCACTGTGGCAGCAAGACCTGGGTCGTTTGACTGGGTTGCGACTCACCATAGTTGGTTCCCACCACACCCAAACCAAACTCACCGTGCTTCGGACCTTGCCCAAACCAGGACTCACCAGAGTCCCCGTGCCGTCTTGGGTCAGGTCCGTGTAGGTCACTTGCCTCCCCCGCACCACGTGGAAGTTCACCACCGCCGTGGCGATGTCAGGGTCGTTGATCAGCGGCGACGTTGATGGGAGGTCTTTAATCGTGTCCGGGTTGGGAACGAAGAAGGTGACCTTCTCAGTGGAGTTAAGTGCTTTGCCTAGAAGGGTGAGGAGGCCTGGGGGTGAGGTGGGGGGGGAGGAGGAGAGGAGAGGAGAGGGCGACGCCAAGGGGGATGAGGACGGGAGTTCGGTGCCTTGCCTAGCAGGGTGAGGAGGCCTGGGGATGGGGTGGGGGGTAGGGGCATCAGCAAGGGCGGGAGGGGGGACGGGACGAGGATGCAGAGGAGGGTGGAAGACCTTCTCAGTGGAGCTAAAAGCCTTGCCTAGTAGAACGGTGAGGAGGCCTGGGGGATGGGTAAGAGGGCGAGAGGGAGACGAGGACGGGAGGTGTTTGATTGGGTCTGTGTTGGGAACGAAGAAGCTGACTTTCTCAGTGGTTCAAGTGCGTTCTCGGTGGATTCAAGTGCTTTGCCTAGCAGGGTGAGGAGGCCTGGGAGTTGGGTAGGAGGGGTTGAGGGGAGGGGAGTCCGATGGGGAAGGGAAGAGAGACGAGGACGGGAGTCCGTCATCACGTCCGGATAGAGGACGAAGGACCTAGGAGAGTGGAGTGGAGCAAGTGGCGCGTTACCTCAACCTGCTCCGCTGAGTTGAGCGCTTTGCCTGGGAGAGTGAGGAGGCCTGGGAAGGAGGGGTAGGGGCGCCGCCAAGGGCGGGCAGCGGGAAGCGGGCACTGGGGAAGCGGGAAGAGGGCAGCGGGAAGCGGGCAGCGGGCAGCGGGCAGCGGGCAGCGGGCAGCGGGCGGCGGGCAGCGAGCAGCAGGAAGCGCGCAGCGGGCAGCGGGCAGCGGGCGGCGGGAAGCGCGCAGCGGGCAGCGGGCAGCGGGCAGCGGGCAGCGGGCAGCGGGCAGCGAGCAGCGGGCAGCGGGAAGCGGGCAGCGGGCAGCGGGAAGCGCGCAGCGGGCAGCGGGAAGCGGGCAGCGGGCAGCCGGAAGCGGAAGCGGGCAGCGGGCAGCGGGAAGCGGGCAGCAAGAGCTTGGTGGCGAAGGGGAAGAGGAAGGCGGCGGGGGGGAAACTATCCGTACATCATGAATTGAGGGTCGTCCATGTCGTCAGCACCTTGCTCCCCCACACCCATCTATCTCTAAGTCCCATGCCACTGCTTGGCTTTACTGGGTCTATTCGTACCTCCGTTGATGGCGAACATCATGACCTGAGGATCATCCATGTACGGCTGGAGCGTCGTCAGCAGCGTCTCAAGGAGAGGGAATAGGGAGTAGAGAGGGAAACGTGGGCAGAGAGAGAAGAGTGGGAGACCACAAGCCTATTCGTACCTCCGTTGATGGCGAACATCATGAACTGCGGATCATCCATGTACGGCTGGAGCGTCGTCAGCACCTTCTGCGCGTTCCCCAGGTCCACCCCCCCGCTCCCCCCGCTCCCCCCGCTCCCCCCGCTCCCCTGGGGCGGAGACGGCGAAGGCGGAGGCGGAGGCGGGGACTTCTGCACTGAATTCGGCTTGCGCCGCTTGGGGGGAGAAACCTTCGGGGGGGATTTCGGGGGAGGCGGAGGGGACCGTTTCGGGGGAGACTTCTTAGTGGGGGAAGGCTTGGGGCTTTTGCGCTTGGGCGGGGAAGTGGAAGGCGGCGGGGGGGAGCGCTTCTTGGGGAGGATCGGCGAGCGCTTCTTCGGGGGGGAAGTCCCGCGCTTGGGAGGGGAAACTCCGCTCTTGGGGGGAAATTTGGACACGTTTGCGGGGCTTTTCGCGGGGCTTTTCGGCGGAGAATTCGTCGTTTTCTTCGGCGGGGAGCGCGCCGTCGTCTTCTTGGGCGGCGAAGGGGACTTTTTCACAGCGGCGATTAATCTGCTGCCGAGCTTGGGACTCTGAGTCGGACTGGGCAGGGCCGGCGGAACCGGCGGCGCTGGCGGCGTCCGCGCGCGTTTGAGCAGCGCAGCGTAGAGGAGCGAGATGGTCTCGCGGGAGCGAATGCTGCTTGGAGGCGGCGAGATTCTCTCCGCGCTCCTTTCGTGAAAAAACCTTGGCGAGTTTGGCGGTGATTTCGGTGGCGATTTCAGTGGCGATTTTGGCGGCGACTTTTTCGGCGAGGTCACAGAGTACCCGTCCTTTTTCCTAGTAGTCGACTTTATGGGGCTTTCTTGCGCAGCTAATCTAACCCGTATAGATACCAGTGCGCGCGGGTTTCCTCTCCCATTGCGTGCGCCATTCTCCACAGCTCGAGCGCTCACGGCGGCGGCGGCTGCGGCGGTGTTGCCTTCGGTGGTGGACGGAGCGGACGCGGGAATGGCGAAGAGAAAGAGCACGGCTAATGCGAGAGCTAAAGCGATTACTATCCGACACGATGTCGAGAACGAGGAGGATGACGATGAGGATGTGGTTGAAGGTGTAAAACGACTCCGCGGTCGATTCTGCTGGCGACAATCAGCCATGGCCACCCGGATAGCCTACCGACCTACGACGGCTCAGAAACTAACCGAGAGATGACCGTCTATAAGCCCGCGAGGAGAAAGTTGGGGGAGCGGCTGGCGTAGTGGCGGGGAGTAGCCGGATCGTGCGTGGGTGACTGCTCGTACTGGTAGGCAACGAACCCGTTGCTAACAGAAGATCCGGTCACTCGAGTGAACCTAAGAAGCTGACTGAGCGATTAGCTGCTAAGTATTTTCTTAGCGCCTGTCGCAGCGTCTCAAGTTTGATAAGTCTGTCGTTGGGTGGAGCCTGCGCCAGTTGGTACCTAATCGGTCGTCCGACACTAAGCCCTTAGTACACTACAGGAAAGAGGGGGGCGGCTTTGATTCTAGCGGGAGCTTCTTTCCCTCGATCATTTTGAGAGGTTGGGTACTAGATCCGACAGCCAAAAGCACAGTTTCTGGTCGGCTGGTCCTATACTAACTGAATGCGGCGTTCGATCTGCCCTGTTTCAGCATCGCACCTACCGTCGGAACGAGAAAGACGGGTCAACGAGCTCCGATGTGGGGAGAGAAAGCAGGAAGTTCCCGTGTTGGTGGGAAGGAACGGGAAATCGTGAGGGGCGGTGAAACAGACTGGGGTAGAGGAGGAAAATGCGGGAAGAATTGGGAGAGGGAGGGTGGAGGAATTTGGGGTGCCATGGATTGGGGGGGAGGGAATTTCGACGGGGGCGACTCGGAAGGGCGTCGCGTCACGAGGTGCCGATGTGATCGCTGACACAGTTTCGTCCGCTGTCGTGTGTGCGAAGATGATTGCTGGTAACGTTACGTTCTGTGAGGGTTTGTGGAACGCATAAATTGTACATTATAAGCTCTATCATACGCTTCAGTGTACATTCTGAACATATCTACGGTGATGTAATTGAGATTTCCCATAAAATCGGTCGAGCAGTGTTGGGATTGGCCCAAGTTCCATCGACCAACGGGAAACCCAGCAAACTTACAGTGTGATTGATGTGGCACAGACAGCATCCAGCGTGTCAGGGATCATCACTGAACGAATCACACATGCCTCCCAGGCCAGCAGCACCCACGAACCTGGTCATGGCCCCACATTGGCTGGACCGTTCGCCCGCCCGTTCAGACTTCCATTTTGTCTGCTGCTCATGACTCACAAACCTTTGGAGGCGGCGTGAGGGTGCTTTCCTGCTGCACCAGCTCGATGTTCAACCGTTGGATCAGTGATTTGTCGCAAGTAACGATCGTGATGGAGCAAGGTGGGGGGACAAATATGCCCGCGAAATGAATTTGAAACATGGGCAGTGATCGGCCATGGATGATCGATCCTCTCTTCGAACCTCCCCTCGATAGTATCACAGCAGCAGTATTCCCTTGAAAAATGATCCTCCTAAGAATTCCAGCCCAGACTCGAGTCCAACACTCTCGGGAGAAACTTCAGCCCAGACTCGAGTCACTTGAGGCTCGAGTCACTCGAGACAGCAAGACAGCAAGCCTCGGGAGTGACGAAGCATGCATACCCATTTTTATTGCTGATAAATTTTAGCAAAAGGACACCATAGCTGGCAAGGTTCCGAACAAGCGCCAAACTTGATTTGCGACGTACTCGTACGTCCGTGGCCTCGCTTTTGCGAATTGCGGGACTTAGCAGCGAACCTCGTTGTTGAATCAGCGACATACAGCGGCTTCAGATTCGTTTATTCCATAAGTCGATCGTAGCGAGAACGACTTGCCGATGAAGCAGGCTTTCTACCAACCTCAGGCTGTGCTCCGCCATTATACCGACTCGAATCCGTTTTCATCCGCAAACCAAGGATCTTGCGGAGGAATGGACAATGCAGCATATCATTCGAGTCACACGGTACTTCGTTGATCGTAAAGCAGTAGCCAGATACTCTCTCTCCCTCACGTTGAGTTCTTGCCAAGAGAAGCGCTCCTGGTTTTGACACTCATTTTCATCATGATGAGTTCATACGCGTTGGGTCTCAGTTGCAAGCCTCCTCTGATTTATGGTTTCCGATCAATGCACGATGACAAGTCACTCATTTCCGCCCAACACTAATGTTGCCTCCACGTTTCGTTGCACGCAGCGCGAATCCCAACGGAGGGACGGGCTGCGTGGTCGGATTCGTTACAAGTCACTCATTTCCTCCCACCACTATCGTTAACTCCACGTTACCTTCACGTTTCCTTGCACGCTCGTTTCGTTGCACGCAGCGCGAACCCCAGCCGGGGTGGATGCCAGCTATTCCCACCGGAGGAACGGGTAGCGGCGTCGGATTTGGTAGCGCGACAATCGGATCAGCTAGTAGCGCAGCAGCAGTGCTGGCCATGCAGCATTCGGCGACCGTCCCTTTCCACGTACCGAATAGGCCAGCAGGTGAATCCGCGACTTTCCCACCCAGGCTGGAGATCCCAAGGCTAGATTCATTCTAACGGTTTAACCGTGCTGTAATGGCGAGTGATATTCTGACAGAAGGCTCAGTGCAATTTTGCACTTGTCTAGTTCTTAATTAAAACAGTATTCTTCGGTTCATGTTGCTTGCTTTACCGCCACGCAGGTGCATGGCCTCAGGCAGCAGACATGTCCGTTCCTTACTCCCAAGCCTACTCCGCTTCTATTGCGAATGCAGCTCGCCCTGCTGCTTCGTCGAACCCGCACATGCAGCCGTACCTACAACCGCCGCTGAAAAAGCACTGTCTTCCCTCTCAGCCGCCACTCGTGCAGTTCGAACAGCAGCAGCAGCAACAGCAGCAGCAAGCGCAACAGCAAGCGCAGCAGCAAGCGCAGCAGCAAGCGCAGCAGCAAGCGCAGCAGCAGGCATTTCAGTTCCAGCAGCAACATCAACCGCACCAACAGCATACAATGCCGTACCAGCAGCAGCAGCAGCAGCAGCAGCAGCAGCAGCAGCAGCAGCAGCAGCAGCAGCAGCAGCAGCAGCAGCAGCAGCAGCAGCAGAAGCAGCAGCAGCAGCAGCAGCAGCAGCACCTCAGCTTTCATCATCATCACCAGCAGCAGCAAGCGCAGTGCCACAGCGTGCAGCAGATGCAGCAACAGCAGAATCACCAGCAACAGCAGCAGCAGCAGCAGCAGACGAGCACACGAATCCAGCAGTCACATCAGAAGCAGCAACCATCGTGCAGATTCGACAACTCCCTCGGTGAGGAGCCTATTTTTGATTCAACACATGCCAAGGTTTCAGCAGCCTCAAAAATAGCAGCCGGCGTGCAGATTCGACTACTCCCTTGGTGAATAGCAGGGAGGGAAGGAGGGCGAAGGTCGGGGACGCGGGGAGTCATAGATCAGGGATTCGGGGTGCCAGTACTTTGGATTCAGAGTGCACTTGAGATCCAAATTAACTCCCCTTACGTTGGACTCAAAGTACACTTGCGATCCAAAGTAACCCAAGTGGCCCTTCGACTCCTTCTCGTGGCGCCTCAAGAATCCTTCCTTTGTTTCTGGCCTGCTCCCTCCCTCTCGTGATGTGGCCTTTGTTTCTCCTTCTCGCAATTGCACCTATGCTACCTCCCTCACTGTCCTCACTGTCCTCACCACCCTCTCCACCCTCTCCACCCTCTCCACCCTCTCCACCCTCTCCACCCTCACCACCCTCTCCACCCTCACCACCCTCACCACCCTCACCACCCTCACCACCCTCTCCATCCTCACCACCCTCACCACCCTCTCCACCCTCTCCACCCTCTCCACCCTCACCACCCTCACCACCCTCACCACCCTCTCCACCCTCACCACCCTCTCCACCCTCTCCACCCTCACCACCCTCACCACCCTCACCACCCTCTCCACCCTCTCCACCCTCACCACCCTCTCCACCCTCTCCACCCTCTCCATCCTCACCTTTTGCAGGGTGTTTTTGAGAATTCTCAAGAGCACCTTCCTCACCGTCCCCACCGTCCTCAGGGCTGTTGACGAAGAAGTTCATCGATCTGATCAAGGCCAGCCAGGACTGCTGTGTAAGGCACCCATCAGTCTTTACAAGCGAAGTGTGGCCACTTCCATCTCACCCCTTCCCTTGGTCCCCGCCACCATCACGCCCTTGGCACCGTCCCCACCGTCCTTCCCCAGGGCTGCTGACGAAGAAGTTCATTGATCTGATCAACGCCACCCAGGACTGCTCAGTCGATCTCAACGTCGCTGCCGCCACTCTCTGCGTACGTCTCTGTGGATAGATTCAACCCCCATCGCCTCATGAATCCGCTTGTTGCTGTCTCAAGTCTTGTGAATGCCAGGCAGGACTGCCCTGTGGGCCTCAACATTGCTGCCGCCCCTCTCAGCGTGCGTTCGTTCAGTGCCACTGCCACTGCCGCTGCCACCACCCCCGCCGCCGCTGCTGTTGTTGCTGCTGCTGCTGCTGCCGCTGCTGCTGCTGCTGCTGTTTTTCCAGCTGCTGCTGCTTTTGCTGCTGCTGCGCGACTACTTCATTGGGGCTCCTCAATGCTGCTCCTCTAGACACTCCTTGGGCTTCATCAGCTGCTTCCCACTATCACGCCTTTCACTCATCCCTCCTCCACCTCCCTCCCTTCCCTCCCCACTCTCTCCTCCCCCCCCTCTCCCCCTCCCCGCCCGCAAAACGGCAGGTGCAGAAGCGGCGCACTTACGACATCACCAACGTGCTCGAGGGCATCGGGCTCGAGGATATAGGGCTGATAGCGCTTTTCCTTGACCTTCCTCTACCCTACAACAACCCCACCCTCCTCCCCTCCCGTGACTGCAGGTGCAGAAGCGGCGCACTTATGACATCACCAACGTGCTCGAGGGCATCGGGAGCTGACAGCCTGCTACCTTGACCTTCCAGTACCGCCGTCCTTCCTCCCCCCTCCCCCCTCTCTAACCTGCAGGTGCAGAAGCGGCGCATCTACGACATCACCAACGTGCTGGAGGGCATCGGGCTGATTGAGAAGAAGGGCAAGAACATTGTGAAATGGGCGTGAGTACTTTGGGGGGCGGCAGGGGGGGGCAGAAAGGGGAGGGGGGAATGGGAGATGGGAAAGGGAAGGGGGGTGAGGACATCAACCGGATTTCGAAGAAGGGCAAGAACATTTTGCGCTGGGCGTGAGTGCTTGGGGGGGAGGCAGGGGGGGGAGGGACATTACCCCATATGTGCACTGTTCAAGTGCGACACGTGTACGGCAGTGCCGGTACTACCTGCGTCGCTTCTCCTTTGAGACGTCTCAAAGCAAATATTCTATCAAATTGCCGCACATTTGCGTTGTTCAAGTGAACCGCATGTACGATGCCTGTGCCGTCTCGTATGCACATCGTGCTATGAACCTCGCTTCTCCGTGCTTGTGTGTGGCAGAGGGACGAACTTGCAAGGCGAGGGAGCAGCGCGCATGCAACAAGACGTGAATGCTGCCCAGGTATGGGGGAGCAGGGGTGCAAAGTGGGGGAGAGGGGAAGAGTTGCGGGTATGGGATGGCGAAGCATCGCTGGGAACGATGGGGGGTGGTAGGTCCAGAGATGGAGTCTTTTTCGTCATGGCCCCTATTCCCCTCCCCTTCCTCCCTCCCACGCCCACCCTTCCACTCCCCCTCCCTCCCACTTCCCGTCCCTTCCCCGACCTCCCCCCCCCTCGTCACCTCTTCTCGTCATGTCCTTTCCGAGCACTAGCACACTCTTTCACGTCCATCCTTTTTTGTTTTTAACCGAGTTCCTTCATCTATCACTCCCACTGCCCATTTCCCCACCCTTCAACTGCTCCTTTCCCTGTCCTCCTCGCTCCTACGTCTCTGTCCCTCCCGTGCCCCGCCCCTCCCTTCTCTCTCTGTGCGGCCATCAGGCGCAGCTAGACGGGTTGAGGGATCAAGATGGGCAGCTAGGCGCAGACGATTTTTGAGGCGCCTAAAAACAATCCTCTCCTGCCCACCCCCCCGTCTCTCTCTCCCTCCGTGCTGCCATCAGGCGCAGCTGGACGAGTTGAGGGATCAAGACGGGCAGCTGGACAACGACATCAGGTGTGCACTCTCCCTCCGTCCCTCCTCTGCTCTCTTGTCCTCTCGCTCATCCCGGATATAGTCTAGCTGGACTTGAGTATCCTTAGAGTGTCAAGACGAGTTGAGGGATCAAGACGGGCAGCTCAACAACGACATCAGGTGTGCACTCGCCTGTCCTCGCTCCTCTGCCTCTGTTCCTCCTCTCTGCCTCTGTTCCTCCTCTCTGCCTCTCGCGCTCTCTCTCTCGTTCTCTATGCTGCCATCAGGCCCAGCTGGACGAGTTGAGGGATCAAGACGGGCAGCTGGACAACGACACCAGGTGTGCACTCTCTCTCCGTCCCTCCTCTCCCCTCCCCTCCTCTCGCTAGTCCCGGGTTTAGTCTCGCTGGTCTTGAGTATCCTTAGAGTGTCAAGACGAGTTGAGGGATCAAAACGGGCAGCTAGACAACGACGTCAGGTGTCCTCTCCCTCCTCGCTTCCTTCTCTCCTCTCCTCTCCTCTTCTCTTCTCTCCTCTCCTCCTCTTCTCCCCTCTCCTCTTCTCTCCTCTCCTCTCCTCTTCTCTCCTCTCCATGCGTCTGATAGTTCTCTCCTTTAGTCTTGTGGTCGTCTCAGCTGATAGGTGGAAATGATTCCAATGTTTAAAGAGTCTCATAATGCTCACTTACGATATCACATAACCTACCACGCACCCCCTCCCCCCCGCCTCTCCTCTCCCCACGCACAGGTACATGCAGGAGCGGCTACGGGTGTCCAGTAACCATGAGGAGAAGAATTTTCTCCCCCTTAAGTACCACATGCACACCCCACACACAACCCTCCCCACGCACAGGAACATGCAGGAGCGGCTATGGGTGTCCAGCAACGATGAGGAGAAGAATCTTCCCCCCCTTCACCATGCCATCCCCCTCCCCCTTCCCCCCCCGACCCCTCCCCCCACGCACAGGGATATGCAGGAGCGGCTATGGGTGTCGAGCAACGATGAGGAGAAGAAGCAATGGATGTTCGTGACCGAGGATGACATCAAGGGGCTGCCCTGCTTCCAGGTGCGCCGTGGTCCCAGGTGAGCCGTGCTGTCAGCTGAGCCGTGCTGCCAGGTGAGCCGTGCTGCCAGGTGAGCCGTGTGCCATGTGGGCCATGCTCCGTGCAATGGAGCCATGGTGCCAGCAACAAGGGGTTGCCGTGCTTCCAGGTGCGCTGTGTGCCATGTTCCATGCAAAGGAGCAATTGTGCAAACAACGAGGAGGACAAGAGTAAATCATTGTTCTTCTCCTCAGCTTCTTGATAGCAACGACGGAGGATGACATCAAGACGCTGCCTTGCTCCCAGGTGCGCCGTGCTTCACGCAATGGCGACATCAGTGCCAGCGACAAGCAACGAGAAGCAGTGGATGTTCGTGGCTGAGGATGACATGCAGGGAGTCATTGTGCTGTCAATGTTTTTACTGCCTTCCGCTTCTCATATGACTTGCTCTCTCTGGCATCGCGCTGTCTGGCATCTCATATCACTCGCACTGTCTGGCATCGCACTGTCTGGCATCACACTGTCTGGCATCACACTGTCTGGCATCTCACTGTCTGGCATCTGACTGCCTGGCATCTCATATCACTTGAACTCTCGGGCATCCCTGCCTGCCCTTGGTCGAGCATGTGTGTTTCCCTGTCCCCACGATTCCTTCCCCCTGTTGATTCCGGTTCCTGCTCATCCACACATGAGCCTGCTCCAACTCTCTTCCCCATCATCCCTCCCCTGTACCCCAGAACGAGACACTCATCGCCATCCGAGCTCCCCACGGCACCATGCTGGAAGTCCCCGACCCTGAAGACGTGAGTCCTGCTGCTGCTGACAAGGTAAGCGCTGCTGCTGCTGACTGCGGGTGCTGGCGACTACGGGTGCTGGTGACTGCGGGTGCTGGTGAGTGCAGGTGCTGGTGAGTGCAGGTGCTGGTGACTGCATGTGCTGGTGAGTGCAGGTGCTGGTGAGTGCAGGTGCTGGTGACTGCATGTGCTGAATGCTGCTGCTGGTGACGAGGTGAGTGTTGCTCACCCCTTTCACCTCCCTCACAGGCAGGCAGGGCGCACAGTGGCCAGTCCGCACTATGCAGCAAGTGGCATCAGATCCTACTGCGCAGCTCATGCCTCCCAACCTCCCCTCTTCACACGCACCATCTTGCTGCTCCATCTCGCCTTTCACCCCTCACAGGCAGGCAGGGCGCACAGTGCGTCCCCACCATCCAGCAAGCGCTATCAGATCCTACTGCGCAGCTCAAATGGCCCCATTGACGTCTACCTGGTCAGGTGAGTCCACCTGGTCAGGTGTGTCTACCTCGTCAGGTGTGTCTTCCTGTTCAGGTGTGTCTTCCTGGTCAGGTGTGTCTTCCTGGTTCTGAGGCGCCGCAAAAGCAATCTCAGTTCACGCGGATTTTGAGGCGCCTCAAAAGCAGTCCCATGCAGCCCCTATCCGACTGACCAGGCTACCCCCCCCCTCGGGCCCCCAATCTCTCTATCTATCGTTTCTTTCACTAGCTTTGATCTTGCAAGCTCTATCTCTATTTTTTCACACAGCCTCAAAATTACGCCCTCTCATGCATCTTCCTCCTCACTCCCCCAGCCGGTTTGAGGAGAAGTTTGACGGTGCCGCCGACCATGCCACTCCTGCTGCTGCTGGTGCTGCTGCTGGTGCTGCTGCTGGTGCTGCTGTTGCTGTTGCTGTTGCTGTTGCTGCTGCTGCTGCTTCTGCTGCTGCTGCAGCCGCACCAAACCCCTGTTCCCATGCACTTGATCTCATAAATCCCCTGTTCCTGTGCTGACCAAACCCCACTTTCTTCCTCCTCATTCCCCCAGCCGGTTTGAGGAGAAGTTTGATGGTGCCGCCGACCATGCGTCTCCTGCCACTCCTGCTGCAACTGAGACGAAGACTGAGAAAGTCAAGGGTGCAGAGGAAACAAGACCAGTAGCAGCAGCAACAACAGCAGCGAATTCTGGAGAAGCAGCAGCAGTAGCAGGAGGAGGAGGAGGAGGAGGAGGAGGAGGAGGAGGAGGAGGAGGAGGAGGAGGAGGAGGAGGAGGAGGAGGAGGAGGAGGAGGAGGAGGAGGAGGAGGAGGAGGAGGAGGAGGGGAAGGAGAAGGATGGGGAGGAGAAGGAGGAGAGGAGGAGGGAGCAGTTACGGGAGCAGGGACAGGAATAGACTCAAGCTCTGGGGCTTGGGGCTGTGGAGGGGGGACGGGGGTTGACGCTGGGGGAGGTATGGGTATGGGAGATGGTGAAGGGGACATGTGGATGGCAGAGGATGTTGGCGGACCAATGAGAGTTGTTCCTGCCGAGCCAGTGGTGAGTGTCGTGAGATTGGAAAGCACGTTCTCTGTTATTTTATGCATTGGTTGCCTACTTCTTATTTTGTAGCAATTTGTTTAATTGTGTTAGAATCCTCCTCTATTTTTCCACCTTGCAGGATTATTGGCTTTTGTCAGACAGCCACTTGGGCTTGACTGACATTTGGCGGACTGATCCTCGATAATCACAATGCTTACAAGTCGAACATATTGAGAAGATTTACCTTGCAAGTTCTTAGGTGTTTGAAGTGTTTGCAGGTGTTGTAATATTGCGCACGACGGCAACAACGAAGCATAAAGTTTTGCGAATCAATGATTTGGGCAACTCCTTGCGTGGCCATGTGGTAAAGATCTCCCCAATTACACCACCAGGATGACAGCTGTACACCTGCCCGAGGCAAGCAGATGTACTTCAGCAAATTGCCCAGCTCCTAGCAACGGCCTGAGGTATCCTGGTGCATGTGATTTTGTCATATTGCTCGTTCACCTGCCCCAACAGAAAGCGTCACAGCTGTCGCTCGTTTGGACAGTTCCGCGGTTGTCTCCTCTTCAGTCTCAATGGTTGTCTCCTCGGTCATTTTGAAAGCAATCGAGCTTCCCAGTCAGAATACGTAGGGAGGGAGTGAACCTTCTAGAGCTTCGAGAATGGATGTCAGATGCAGTGCACAGTTTAGTGCAGTTCAGTTCAGCACAAGATGCCACAGCACGCAACCAACGGGCAGGTTGCAATTGTCGCTTTTGGGTTCTGGACTCTGGTCTGGACTCGAGTCGACGAAGCAGGCGGCTCCGCGTGGAGGTTTACTGTACTGCACTGTAACATGTAACACCTCCGTCTGCCTCGACGAATCAGGGACCGCATAACCACCATCGTGTCTGACGGACCTCATTCCATCCGTTATGGTTTTCCTCCTAAAATTCCGTCTCATTCCCCAACCAGACCCAAGCATATGCCTCTCTTCCACTCTTCTAGAGTCCATCCAGAGTTCAGGGCAGAGTCCAGAGTCCAGACCAACTACGGTATTTAGCGCATACTCCGCGTACCTATTTCCTAAGTTTCGCTCTCTCAACTCGCTCGCTACTCTCGACCATTTCATGTACTTGCTTATCTACACGTCGTCTACTCAGCCCGGCTGCTTCTTCTCAGGAATTCGCCTCAATTCCTGACTTCGTGCTGCCTTAGTGGACCTAATCCATAAGCGATTTTTCGCTAATGTCGATCGTGGGTACCCGTAGTCCTCCCCAGTCCATTCTTAACGAGCAGCTTTCTGCTTCCAGACTCACCACGACACCGCGGCTTTCGACAGTCAAGCGTCACAACTCCATGCGAAAGTCCCTAGAACCGTCGATTTCACTGACTCGCAACCCCGCTATTCCATCCGACGGCCCTGGAGAACCGTCTGTTCCACGCTTGCCCATTGAGGAAGAGTGGCATTTCGCAGGGCCTCCCCTGTCTGACTCTAATCCGTCACCGTCTACGGCCGCTCCATTCAGCCGTCACAGCTGGTCGTCAGGATTTGACAGCCGACCGTCAACTGCCGACGGCCGCAGTTCGCCGTCGATGACGGCGTCACCAGTTCGTTATTTCCGTCGGCATGCTTTCACGGGGACGCACCTCCAGAGAGCCTGCAGTACTCCACCCCGAGGTCGGTTAGGAGCGGTGGGACCGTTCGCCCGAGCTGGAGATATTCTCAAGGAGGAAATGGCTCAGGAAAATGAGCAGATATGAGGCCTTTGGGCGAGTAATGGTGGAAGGAGATAGAAAGAGAGTAGCCCGCGTGCTTATTTCAGCATGACAAATGGCTGCTATCCTTCCTACCGGTATTTTCTTGTGTGGTCTTTTCTCTGTGGGTTACATATTGCAACTAGATTGTGGAACCACTGAATGGTTTCAAATGTGAAAACCGCATGTATTTTACTCTGATTTCACAGTTTTACATTAGCTGCTCAGTTATGTGCTTATCGTATGGAAGAAGCAAATAAACAAAGATCAGGTGTTCCGTTTTTTATGTGAAACATGTACACCAATTTCACTACACATACCATTCCATACCGCACTCCAAAGATCAAGTGTTCTGTCTTGATTCTAGAAAGCATCTTCCAGTCAAGTGGGCAAGATTCCTCATAGTCCGGCGCGAGGCGGCCAAGTCAGCATACGGCGCTTCTGCTCATTGGGCAACGATCCTCCTCCGCTAAAATCCCTTCAGATCGGTCACAATTTCCTGCCTAGAATGTCACACCGCAGGGATACTTTCGGTCCGTTCGATTCCATTCCCATCTGTCAGATCAAGTGGGCCTTCACTTCATGACCATCCTTGAAAGCATCAGCCCGAGGGAATCTGGTGTGTGTGGATCATCAGTACAGTATGACTCTTGAGAGAGGTACTGACTGACCAAGATCGCTCTAAACTGTCAGTGAGCAGCATCAGTCAGTGGTCGTGCTGGTCAGTCAGTCAGTAGAGAAGACGACCATTAGTCGCTGATAGTTATTTGGTTTATTGAATCTGACAGTGGACCAAATTTTCGTCACGGTAGCACCATCGCATTGCCGTGAGCATCCAAGCTGAATCGCGCGGAAAATTATCGCCTTGCATCTGCAGAAGCCGTGTTCTTGATCGGCTTCCTTCTGGCTGTTCCATCCGGCTCTCTCCATCTTCGGCCTTGGCTGCAACTTGAGGGGATCGGTTGAGATACAAAGCCTTGTCGATTGTATCGCAGGCTAGAATCGCTTACTGTCTGTTGTAGATCCTTTCCTTTCTGGTCGTTATCCCGACGTGAACTGCTTGGTAGTCTTCCCGAGGCGAAGAAGTGTTTTCGCCATGGATCCTCCAGCTGCATCGCAAGGCACAACGATCGGCTCGAAGCCTCAAGAGACCCGTAGAGTGTCCTTCTCCGAGCGCCAGCAGCAGCGACGGCGAGGCCTCAACTCACGAAGATCTCTTAACGCGTCTGACAATAACGATGCGTCCGGCTCCCCGACAGCTCAATCTGGAAATGGTCCGAACGGAGGCAGTTTTGGCTTCAGAGGACATCGCATGAAACCGGATAAAGTGACCTTTTCCGAGCGCCAGCGGCTAAGAAAAGCCGGCGAGCTCGAAGAGGAGGATGCGAAGCCGATCTTCGGCAACCGAATGAAGACCAAGGTGACGTTTTCGGAGCGGCAACGGCAGAAGCTGCGGCGGAGAAAGACGCTGAACGAGCTGGAAACGCTAGAGTGCGTCGACGGCGAATTCGGGTTCAGCTGGTCGGAATACGCGTCGGATTCGTCGTCAGAAGCGCCGACTCCGGCGGGTGGTTTGGAGAAGGTCGAATTTGGGGAAGAGCTGAGGGAGGAAACGGGGGAAGCTGGCGAGGGGGTGGTGGCGGGAGCGGCGTGGAAGGGAAATCGCGGGTTCAGAGTGCAGATTCGCCTGGGTGGAGCGGCGAAGAAGCTCGTCAGTGGAGCCATTGCTGGAGGAGTATCACGAACAGGTGCGTCGTTTCAATTCGCTTGCCCTGATTATACAAATATAATGTACTTGATGTGCTAACACCGTTTGCAGCACTTCCGTCCCTTTCTCCCGCGAAGCATGCAACACGCTCCTCTGGCTTTAGTTAAGTGGTACATTGCTCGTCAGGATTCTACAAGTTGCTAGTCATGCATCAAGAAAAATGTCGATGGAAATGTTCAAACCTGCAGTGGTGGCGGCGCTGGAGACGATCCGCACGCACCTGATGGTGGGGATTCGAAGTGGAACATGTGATATTCAGAATCCAAATAGTTTCCTGTTCACTGCATTTTGCTCCTCGCAGTGGTGGCTCCGCTGGAGACGATCCGCACGCACCTGATGGTGGGGAGCTCGGGGCACCGCTCGATCGGCGGCGTGTTCCGCTGGATCATGCAGAAAGAGGGCTGGCGCGGGCTGTTCCGCGGGAATGCCATCAATGTGATCCGCGTCGCTCCCGGCAAGGCAGTGGAGGTAAGTTGCGAGTTCCCTCAACACGCGTGTTTCGCTGGATCATGCAGAAAGAGGGCTGGCGCGGGCTGTTCCGCGGCAACGCTATCAATGTCATCCGCGTGGCTCCTGGCAAGGCTGTGGAGGTGAGGCCCCCCGACAGGCTGTGGCTGTGGGGGTGAGACAAGCGGTCGAGGTGAGACCCCTGACCGATTGTGGAGGTAAGAATTGAGTCGCCTCAAAAGGCGTATTCCGGTGGATCATGCAGAAGGAAGGCTGGCGCGGACTGTTCCGCGGGAATGCTATCAACGTGATCCGCGTCGCTCCCGGCAAAGCAGTGGAGGTGAGACCCCCTGACAGGCTGTCGAGATGAGACCCCTTCGAAAGGCGTGTTCCGGTGAAAAATGCAGAGGGCTGGCGCGGGCTGTTCCGCGGGAATGCCATCAACGTCAACCGTGTGGCTCCCGGCAAGGCTGTGGAGGCGAGATGCACATAAGTGCTGGGTTGGCGCACTCATGCCCAGCCGTGTCTGCACGCTCCTGCATTGTGCTCTCAGCTGTTGCGTTGACTATATGCATTGAGCCGAGATTCGTGTAACTAGACTTCGATGCCAATCTTCTCAAGCCAACCTCAAGCTGCTATAAAGGGGGATTCATACGACAGGAAGTAGTTCACAAGCCAAGAAACCACTAATTTCTGTGCTCCCAACACCCCCTGAACAGCTCTTCACATACGACACTGTGAAGAAGCTGCTTACACCAGCGGACGGTGGCAAACCCATCATTCCCATCCCGCCGTCCTCCATTGCCGGGTCCGCTGCGGGCGTGGCGGCCTGCTGCCTCATGTACCCGCTCGAGCTCGTCAAGACGCGGCTGACCATTCAGGTGAGCTCGTGCAGGAAGTAAGGGTTAGAGAGTTGATTGTTGGGTTTTGCTGCGGGCGAGGCAGCATGCACTCTCATGTACCCACCTAGAGATCGTCAAGGCGCGGCTGACCATTCAGGCGAGCTTTCTTCGTGTGCTTGGGTTAAAGAGCTTGTTGAGGGATCTGCTGCGGGCTTGGCGGCTTGCTGCCTGGTGTACCGCTAGGGCTTGTGAAGACGTGGCCGATCATTCAGATGTGAGTCGTTATAAGGCTTTGCGTGACCATCTGCCTGGCCCTGCTGCCTGCTACCTGCTACCTCATGTACCCACTCGAGCCTGTCAAGGAAATAGCTTTTAAGTCACAAGTTTATGAACGCCCGTATGGAGGCAATCAAGTGTATTTATCGCAACCCGAGTCCTATGTCCCCAGTAACATTCCAGCCTTTCATCATGCACCCCTCATGCATCATGTCTCTCGCAGCCTGGCGAGTACCGCAGCATTCTGCATGCCTTCTACCGCATCGTCAGAGAGGAGGGGGCGCACGAGCTCTACCGCGGGCTAGGGCCCAGCCTCATAGGCATCATGCCCTATACTGGCTCCAGGGCAGACACCAATGGACCCAGGAGTCATGTACCGATGAAAACGCCATAGACGTGCTCAAACACTTCCTCTCCGTTCCGTCTACTCCGTTTCCCCTCCATCCAGTCGCAGCCTGGCGAGTACCGCAGCATCCTGCATGCCTTCTACAGCATCGTCACAGAGTAGGGCGCACACGAGCTCTACCGTGGGCTAGGGTCACTGTGCCCTGTACTGGCTCCACAGCAGATACCGGTGAACCCAGGAGTCATGTACCGATGAAGGCATCATCTAAGTGCTGATTCACTTCCTCTCTCTTTTGTCTGCTTCATTTCCCCCCCACCCCCCCGGCAGCCTGGCGAGTACCGCAGCATTCTGCATGCCTTCTACCGCATTGTCACAGAGGAGGGCGTGCACGAGCTCTACCGCGGGCTGGGGCCCAGCCTCATAGGCATTGTGCCGTACGCGGGGTCCAACTACTTTGCCTACGACACGCTGCGCACGCTGTACAAGCAGGTCACCAAGAAGGACAAGATTGAGCCGCTCGCCACGCTCATCATTGGGTCGCTGGCTGGCGCTGCTGCTGCCTCTGCCACATTCCCCCTGGAAGTGGCTCGGAAGCAGGTGTGTAACTTGCGATTTGGTTTTGTGGGTTCTAATGTTAGAATGCGTGAAATACTTAGGAAGTTGAGGGGGCTGGGACCCAGCCAGCCTCATAGGCATTGTGCGCTAAGTGGGGTTTAACTACTTAGCCTACGACATGCTGTGCACACCCTGCAAGCGGGTCATGAAAAGGGACGAGCGAGTCGTTTGCCACGCTCATCATCGGGTCGCTAGCCGGCGCTGCTGCTGTCTCCGCTACATTCCCACTGGAAGCGGTCCGCAAAGCAAACAGGTGTGTAGATTGTGAAGGTGCTGGTTGGTGGTGCGAGGTGTTCTGTTCAAAACACTTTTCATTGTGGCGCTGCTGCTGCTTCTGCCACATTCCCATTGGAGGTGGCCAACCAGGCGTGTGGTGTCGTGGTGTGAGTTCTATTCCGGGAAAGCCCCATTGGAAGTGGCCTGGAAACAGGTGTGTGGGTTCCTGGTAGGTGGTGTGAGCTGTAGTGCTGGAAACATTTTTATCAGGGCGCTTGCTGGCAGTGCTGTTGCCTCTGTCACGTACGCTATTGTTGGGATTGGCTTGCAAACAGGTGTGTTCTGTGTCTGTTTGGTAGTGTGCGTCAATATGTAACACTTGGTTGTGAGCAATGGTATATAGGGCTCTGCTGCTTGTATCCATCACATTAAAGCCCTTCTCTTTCATCGCTAGTAGCCACCCCTTATCTACTCCATGGTTGCAGATGCAAGTGGGGGCTTTGAAGGGCCGTGTGGTGTACAAGGGAACACTCGACTGTATTCAGCGGATTGTTCAGGAGCAGGGAATTCAAGGGCTCTACAGGGGCCTTGTGCCATCTTGCGTTAAGCTGATGCCCGCTGCAGGCATCTCCTTCATGTGCTATGAGGCGCTCAAGCATGTCTTTGTTGAGGATGATAAGGTTACAGTAGCTAAACCGGCAGTTGCCTGACAATGTTAGTGCATTCTAAGTTGATTCGGATCACTGCTATGCCCTTGGCACTTGAGTGAAGATGTTTTCACTTCTACATGCCAATCCTTGGACTTTGACATACCTCTACATGTTAGAATGTGAATAATGAACTAGTGTGAGAAACCTAAAACATCTACATGTCGGGGTTGTACTTACTAGAAGCACACACCTAGGCTAGCCTATAACTTCTACACGCAGCATATCTAAAGTTGACACACCCCCTAGGCTAGAGAAGGGGTGGTGCTTGTCAAACATGTCTATTTGTTATGTTTGTATAGACTGTATAGGGCAGCCTCTTAGAGGGTACAACACTTAGCTATATTGTGTGTACTCTCCCTCTATCACCATCATTCAATTTTATGATATGGTATCACGCGTAGGTAGGATCCCCCCCCCCCACCTACCGCTTCCGCTCATGCCCCCTAGCGCCCCTCCTGGGCCCCGTCGCGCTCCTCCCAGGCCCCATCGCGCTCCTCCCAGGCCCCGTAGCGCCCCTCCTAGGCCTCGTCCCGCCCCTCCTGGGCCCTGTACCGCCCTCCCAGGCCCCGTCGCGCCCCTCCCAGGCCCCGTCGCGCCCCTCCCAGGCCCTCTAGCGCCCCTCCTGGGCCCCGTCGCGCTCCTCCCAGGCCCCGTAGCGCCCCGTCGCGCCCCTCCTGGGCCCTGTAGCGCCCCTCCTGGGCCTCGTCGCGCCCCTCCTGGGCTTCGTAGCGCCCCTCCTGGGCCCTGTAACGCCCTCCCAGGCCCCGTCGCGCCCCTCCCAGGCCCCGTCGCGCTCCTCCCAGGCCCCCTAGCGCCCCTCCTGGGCCCCGTCGCGCTCCTCCCAGGCCTCGTCGCGCCCCTCCTGGGCTCTGTCGCGCCCCTCCTGGGCCCCGTCGCGCTCCTTCCAGGCCCCGTAGCGCCCCTCCTGGGCTCTGTCGCGCCCCTCCTGGGCTCCGTAGCGCCCCTCCTGGGCCCCGTTGCGCCCCTCCTGGGCCCCGTAGCGCCCCTCCTGGGCCCCGTCGCGCCCTCCTTGGGCCCTGTAGCGCCCCTCCTCGGCCCCGTCGCGCCCCTCCCAGGCCCCGTCGCGCCCCTCCCAGGCAACGTAGCGCCCCTCCTGGGCCTCGTCGCGCCTCTCCTGGGCCCCCCCGTCGTGCCCCTCCTGGGCCCCGTAGCGCCCCTCCTGGGCCGCGTCGTACCCGTCGCCGCCGCCCGGCCCCGTCGTGCCCGCCCGGCGCCGTCGCCGCCGCCCGGCCCCGTCGCGCCCGCCCGGCGCCGTCGCTGCCGCCCGGCCCCGTCGCGCCCGCCCGGCGCCGTCGCACCCTGCCCGGCCCGTCGCGCTCGCCCGGCCCCGTCGCAGCCGCCCGGCCCCGTCGCACCCGCCCGGCCCCGTCGCACCCTGCCCGGCCTCGTCACAGCCGCCCGGCCCGTCGCACCAGCCCGGCCGCCGTCCCGCTCGCCCGGCCCCGTCGCACCGGGCCGGCCCTGCCGCACTCGCCCGGCCCCGTCGCCCCAGCCCGGCCCCGTCGCCCCAGCCCGGCCCCGTCGCGCCCGCTCGGCCCCGTCGCCCTGTCCCGGCCCTGTCGCATCAGCCCGGCACCGTCGCGCCCGCCCGGCCCCGTCGGGCCAGCCCCGGCCTCGTCCTCCTCACTGGTACGGTTCCCCCCCCCCCCCCCCCCCCCCCCCCCCCCACCCCGCCCTGCTCCGTGCCGCCCTGCACCGCACTGCACCGCACTGTACCGCACTGCACCGCACTGTACCGCACAGTACCGCACTGCACCGCACTGCACCGCACTGTATCGCACTGCACCGCACTGCACCGCCCTGCACAGCACTGGACTGTTCCTGATGGCGGCGGAGCTTCGCTTCGACGCTGAAGGTCAGCCCCTAGAGTTCGAGGCGTGGCTTGCCGACCTCCGCCGCCAACTCACTGGCCAGCGGCAGGATGGTGAACCGCTTTCCGCACACCTTGACGGTACGCTCCCCTGCCCAGACCCTCCTGCTATTCTGCCCGCTGACCCCACACCCACTGAGCGTGAGTCTACTGCTGCCACTGCCCGTGCGCGCTCTGTCTGGCTTTCTCGCGATGCTGTCGCCCAGCTTGCCATTAGCAACGCCCTCCCCCCGTCCGAGCGTCCTCGCTTTAGGTCCCTCACTACTGCTCAGGCATACTTAGATGCTGTCATCAAGCGCTATTCCACCCCTCCGGCTGCCTCGGTGGGTCGCCTGATCCTCCCGCTGCTCTTTCCTGACCTTGCTTCGTTCCCCACTGTCTCTGACCTCGCTGCCCACCTGCGCTCGATAGAGGAGACCTGGCGCGCCGCCTGCACTGACGCACAGCTTAGAGCCCACCAGCCGCCCATTACCTCTACCCTCTACCTGCTTGCCACCCGCCTCGCAGACCTCACCCTCACTGACTTTGTCGACACCCTGACTGTGATAGAGACCCGTCACCGCTCCATCGCCCAGGCGAGCGGTGTCGTGCCGGTCCCTATCTTTCAGGGTTGTGCCCCTGCTCAGTGTACCTTCTCCGACGGCTCTGCCGCAGTGGCTGAGACTGCTGCTGCAGCGCAGGCCCGTTCGGGGAAGGGCCGCCGCCCCAAGGCTGGGCGCGGCGGAGGGGGCGGCGGGGGTGCGGGCGGGGGTAGTGGTGGGGTCGGGTCGCCTGGTGCTGGAGCGGACGAGGGGACCCTGCCCAGTCCAGCTGAGTCGCCGCCCCTGCAGTTGCAGCAGCCGCAGCAGCCGCCGCAGTCGCAGCCTTCGCAGCAGCCGCAGCAGCCGTCGCAGACGCGGCAGACGAGTGTTCTCCCGCCAGGGTGGCCCGGCGCTGGCGGTGGACGGGCGCGTGGTGGTGTGCCGCGAGGTGGCTCTTCCGGCGGGCGTTGTCAGTACCAGATCCAGACCGGTCCTCGCCGCGGTTTCGTTTGCGGTAAGATCGGTCACTCCACTCCCCGCTGCTTTCGTCGCCTGGACGACCTCTTTCGTCAGCGTTTCGGCCCGTCGCCAGACCTCCCGGACTGGCACAGTTTGCTTAGTCGTCAGATTCAGATCTTTGATATGGCCATGGATGCCATTGTTTCTGCTCTGCATGTGATGTATGCTGATGACTCTAGTGTGCTTCCGACATATTACTCACTGTTGCCTAGTGTAGGTGTGCCTAGCTTAGCCCCCCCTGCTGCGTCAGGCGTAGGATCCCCTGCTTTGTGTAGTCTTGGTGCTTCTGCCGTCGTTCCGTCGCCAGACCCCTCGGCTTCGCTTTCCTTCACCTTGGACTCTGGCGCCTCTCGGTGTTTCTTCCGCGACTCCACCACCCTGACGCCGCTTCCTGTTCCTGCTGCCGTTTCTCTTGCTGACCCCTCCGGCGGTCCGGTAGTCGCCCGCAGTTCCACCACCCTTCCCTGTCCGGCGGTTCCTTCGGGCTCTCTTACAGGTCTGCATATCCCCTCGTTCTCCAGGAACCTAGTTGGTGTCGGCTGCCTCCAGGACCTTGGCGTCACCACTACGTTCCCTGGTCACGAGCGGTATGCTGTCTGTACCGAGGCCGCCACTGGTGCCCCCCTGTCCACGTTCCCCCGGGACCCGGTGTCCGGCCTGTTCACTCTGGACACCGTGCCCCCCCCGGCTGGAGCGCCCCCTCAGGTGGCTGTGTCTACCCAGGTTGCTGCTGCCTGCTCCTGTCGCTCCCTCACTCACCCGACCCTCCTGTGGCACCACCGCCTAGGTCACCCTGCGCTCCCGCGTCTGCGTCACATGTCCCAGCACGGTCTTGTCCTTGGTCTCCCAGGTTCACTCCCCGCGTTTCCCTCCTCCCCAGCTCCACCTTGCACGCCTTGTGTCGAGGGTCGGCTTCGCCGTGCCCCTCACTCCTCCTCGTTCCCCCCTACCGTCGCGCCGCTGCAGACCCTGCACCTGGACGTCTGGGGCCCCGCCCCCGTCCCTGGGCCGCGTCGCGAGCGCTACTTCCTTGTGCTTGTCGACGACTTCACTCGTTACACCACAGTCTTTCCCCTGGAGCGCAAGGCCGACGTGCCTGACGCCCTCATCCCCTGGCTTGTCTCTGCGCGTGTCCACCGCGGTCTCCCTGTCTTGCGTCTTCACTCAGACCGTGGTGGCGAGTTTGCCTCAGGTGTCCTTGGTCGCTTTTGTCGTGCGGAGGGCATCACCCAGACGTTCACCCTACCGGACTCCCCACAGCAGAATGGGGTCGCTGAGCGACGCATCGGCTTGGTCATGGAGGTCGCTCGCACCTCCATGGTCCATGCCGGTGCACCTCATTTTCTGTGGCCGTTCGCTGTGCGCTACGCTTCTCACCAGCTTAACCTGTGGCCGCACCCTCAGCAGCCGCAGGTTTCGCCGACCCGTCTGTGGACTGGGTCTCCTGGTGACGCGTCTGCGTTCCACGTCTGGGGCTGCCTTGCTCACGTTCGTGCCTCCGGCACGGACAAGCTCACTGCCCGCACCCTTCCCTGCGTCTTCCTCGGTTTTCCCCTTGACGCGTCCGACTGGCACTTTTACCACCCGCCGTCTCACCGCTTCTTTCACTCTCGTGACGTCACCTTTGACGAGTCCGTCTCCTACTACCGCCGCTTCCCCCACCGTGGTCCCCCGGTTACCCCCCCCCTGTTCCTGGTCACCCCTTCCCCGGTAGTCCCTGCCCCTCCTCCTCCTCCTCCCCGTCCCGCCCCCTCTGGTGTCTCCCACGTCACCCCCCTTCCGTCCGTGGACCCGGTTGAGGAGTCTTCTGACTCTGGTGGCCCTCCGGTGCAGTCCTCGCCGGCCGCCCCTCCCCAGGTGTCCCCTCCCCAGTCCCCTCCTCCGCCGTCCCTGCCGCCACTGCAGCCGTCGCCGTCGCCGCCGCCGCCGCAGTCGCAGCCCCCGTTCGCTGACTCTGGGGGTGCTCGTCCCGGTCGCCCTGAGGGTGGTCCCTCTGGGGGTGCGGGTGTGGAGCGTGCCGGTGGTAGCCGAGGAGCAGCTTGCGGTCCAGGTGTCGCCGTTGTGCCGCCGCAGCAGCAGTCCCCGCCGGTGTCCGCCCTTCGCCTGCTCGGCCTTCCGTCCCCCGACCCTGCGT